TTCCAGCCAAAATGTTTAGACAATTCACACCTTAAAATCTATTACCACTTTTGAAGCCATATTGGGAAAACACCTACTTTATATTTGTTGTATGTACCTATTCAGATGCCATAACATAAAAATAATTTAAAGATTGATACTTACATTTTTAAATGCTAATCACTTGCTTAAAAACCCTACACAGCTTCCCCTATGTAATCTTTTGGAGGGGGTTGTGGGAAGTGTACTCTCAGGGCTGCTGATGGGGGTACAGCCAGTCCTCCCATACCGGGCCCCTATAAGTACAGCGGGGGCTGCCCACACAGCTTCCCCCAACAAGAACTCCCTGCACAGCTTGTCAAGTACAAGGGATCTGGGTGGCTGGGGCCCTGCCAGGTAGTCTATACGGGGGCCCCATGATTCCTAATGGTGGCCCCAGGGGGATCAGTACTTGGGGTGCACAGACATTGGAGGATGTCAGACTGTTTCTCACCCCCATCATTCACTCCGGAGTGTCCCTTACATCCTGACACTATTAAAGGAGAACTATGAGGGGGGGAGGGGGTGCTTGTCACTCACCTCATAGTTCTAGCCGACCTGTGACAATGAGACTGTCACAGGTCGGCTCAGTAGATCGGGAGGTGAGGGAACACATACCGGCGCTCGCTCACCTCTCGATCCTGTCACGGCTCTCTGCCGTGACAGGGGAGGGACTGGATTCCCCCCTCCCCGCTCCGATCTGCCAGCGCTGACTGGCGGAACGGACGGGGGAGGGGGCGGGTACAGCCTCTAGATAGGCGGAGCCAGCTGTCACTCACGCAGCTGGGCGGATCCCGTCGTCTAAGTCAGGATCCGCTCCGGCTGCGACGTCTCAGTATATAGGGAGCTGTAGCTCCCTATATACTGAGCCTAGGGTGACGGGAGGACGCTAGTTTGTGATCTCCCGTTACCCTGAGGAGAACAATGGGGGAAAACACTGACCCCCATAGTTCTCCTTTAAAAGTAGATGTAAACAACTAAAGTGTCACATAAACTGCAACATTGTATTCCAAAGTCTGGTGCAGTTTTCATTAAAGGGCCGCAACACATAAAACGTTCTCGCTGTTTTATCGTCTAATATCAAAAATCATAAATTTGACTGAAATTTGTACAATTTTGACACGATGCATTGAAGCCAATGGGAAAGGCAAACATGGGGGTGTTTCCGGGGGTACAATGGGCTTTAAATATCTATTTAAGGGTTATGGAAACTTATTTTTGCCATACTGGACCTGTTCTACCAAATACCAGTAAGGGGCGGATTTGTAAACCATTCGCACAGCCCTTCGATGTGCGAACAAGATTCACCGCACTGTGTGGCCACTAGGTGGAGCCGAGGAGCGCAGGATTACTATGCTCTCCGGCTCCATCTAGTGACCACACAGCACTGTGAATAGAGTGACCCCCGACCGTTAAGGAGAACTATGAGGGGGGTGATTTTCACTCATGCTCATAGTTAGAGCCGACGTGTGACCATGAAACTGTCACAGGACGGCTCCATCGATCGGGAAGTGAGCGAACACATACCGACGCTCGTTCACTTGCCGATCATCTCGCTGACAGTCACCGCACCCCACAGGGATTCCCCCCCTCCCCTCTCCGATCCTCCAGCCCTGACTGGAGAAACGGACGGGGAAGGGGCGGGCATAGCTAGCTCTGCTTCTAGATAGGCAGAGCCGGCTGTCAATCAGCCAGCTGGGTGGATGCAGACAGTAATGTCGGGATCCGTCCCGGCTGCGGCGCTCTCAGTATATAGGGAGCTGTAGCCCGCAATATACCGAGCTGTGGGTCACGGGACGCAGTTAGTATATGTCCTTCCGTGACCCTAAAGAGCACTATGAGATAAAAAGGTTACCCCATAGTTCTCTTCTAATGTCACCCCGACCCTTTGTTTATGAAGAAATGTGATTTGTGGGTTAGCACTGATGAACAAAGCCACGTCGCCCGGCACTAGGACCCAGCGGCTAGGAACATGGTATGCACCCAGATTTAAAGGGTAACTTTTTTTTTATTTTGAGCTTATTTCCCCCCAGCGGTGCCACCTGGTGATGTCAGGGGGGTCACTTCAGATGAATAAAAAAATCTGGTTTTCTTAACAAAACCGATCACGTGACACCAACCCTATTGTGTCTGGCGCAGGGAGTGTGTCTGGCGCAGGGAGTGTGTCTGGCGCAGGGAGTGTCTCTGGTGCCGGGACTGATGCTGCCAGCGGTCAGAGATAAAACCAGACTGCACCGAATGTATTGATTTGTATTCCGGTTGGATGGCGCTTATTTTTGCTCCGCCCACCACGTCATTGTGTCTGTTTCTAATTGCGTTTTCTCTTTTCCCTTTTGCAGGAAGCTGAAGCTCTGGCCAACAAGGACGCCTGAATCCTTAGCCCCGCCCCCCCCTAACCTCTGATCAGAACCTTCAATGCTTTTAACGAAACCTCCCAACAAAACCCAAACAGCTTTGCGCCTAATCTCCTGACATGCAGCCGGGAGCCCCGCCCCCCCTTCGCAGCTCGTCCTCTCCGCTGCGGGATTCCTATCCGTGCCAAAATGATCTGTTCGATGTGATGGAGTCTTCCTGCAATCGGTCCTGTATCGGGTTCTGGTCGCGGTTTGCGGCGGATCCGAGTCATACGCTTCCAGATTATATTTCCCTTTCCTGGACTGCGGACGTCCGATGCCGAGAGCGGTTCTGGTGACCTTCGGATCTCACGAGGAAAATCTCGCCCCAAATGTAAAATATATTCAGCTGGCTGCTCATGGGTGGAGCGTCGCAAGTGAGGAGCAGTTAGACACGCCCACGAGGAACTGACCAATCTGATACAACTAGTTTTCCACTGAGCACCCGGGCCGCCTACGATACGAGCGCGCAATCTGTCATCGGTGGAAATGGAACGTCGACGGCGTGTCCCGGAATGGGAGGAGGAAATGTCCGCGGCGTTCCATCTTTCCATTTTATTGTTATTTTACAATCTTTTATTTGATACCGGTGAAGCCATTCAGAAAAATATCGACATCCCAATAAGGTCCTCTACCAAGAGGGGCCCCCGGGGGAGGGGGGGAGTACACACAATTTAGAACATTCGCTCCTTTCCCGGTGAACATGCAAAGTCAGCGTATCTTGCACCCCTCCCCCCCACCGTATGATCAAATAAAGTTGTAACTGAAAGATACAACAAAGTAATAATGTAACCAATAATAATCCTCATTTTGTGGCTGCTTCCCGTGGGCCCCGGTGATGTTATGGGGCCCCACCCCCGCAGGATCATGGGAACCCAAATGATGCTCCAGCATCACCTACATCAGGACCGGTGACATCACCCTGGTCTGGATGAGCCCCCCTGGGTAATGTTATGGTGGGGCCCCCCCGCAGGATCATGGGAACCCATCTCTGGCTCCAGCATCACCTACATCAGGACCGGTGACATCACCCTGGTCTGGGGGTCAGAGGGGGGGGGGGTCTTTATTTTTTTTGGTTAGTGTTTTATTTGGGAGGGCTGCAAGGTGAGCGGACTTTGCATTAGACTTCAGGGTGGCCCCCATTTCGGGCGGTTCCTTTATTGCGTCTCCATGGAGACATCTCTGCACAGATTGATACATTGTGTCGTGTCCACGGCGATGGTTGAAGAGAATTCCATGACGGTGAATAGTCGCGGATCCACCGTCGTAGAACCCGGCCGTGGCCCGTTGTCTCAGCGTTCGCGAATGTCGCCATTTTGTTGGTTGCGCACCTCAGTCCAACCCACACCAAAAAAATAGGCGTGCCTTCAAATTATGAATCCCTCAAAAGGGGCAGGGATGACGTCCTCGAGGGGCCCGGTCCTCATACAGTTCAGTGAGGTCCCCTAAGAAACTATGCTGGATCCTGGCCTGTGTTTAGCCCTTTGGGGGCCAGAGCTGTGCACCTCGGGGGCGGGGGAAAACATCCTGCAGGTTGGGGGGTGTGGCTAAAGTCCTCAGTGCCACATATGTTTTTTTTTTCTTACAGTAATCTGTTATATTGAGGTTTTTATGCTTCGAGGAAATGAAAAGCGTCGTAGTTCACATTGAAGAGTACCTGTCACACATCGTATAGGTAGCCGGGCCTGAGGACGGGACCGCCACTGGTTCAGCCCAACGAGGACCTGCTTGTATCTCATGTGGGTGACAGGTTCTCTTTGCCCAGATGTTAGAGGTCTTTGGGGTGCAGCAGGGAAGCCGCAGGCGGACGTCCGAGGGGCCTCATCCACACCCAGACACATTGTATCGGCTCTGATTTGACGTGTGTGGACGGCTTTGATCTTTTGGGGCACATTGGACCCCTCGCTGTGACCCCCACGTGGGGTATTTAGTAATTGTCGGGATTTTCTGGTGTTTGCACTTGTTACAGGTCATGCATTCGGATCGGTGCGGATGGGACGCTTTTTTCATTTTGTTTCTTTGTTGCCAAACATTCCGATTTTACTTTATAATGAAATCTCGCTGAGTCTCATTCACCGCGTGTGAATCTCGCCTCATTGTAACTGAATAGCAAACCCCCTTCAGTTACCTGGTCATGTGACATGACAGAGGGGGGCGGGGTCTGCTTCTCGGCTTTTCTGGGTATATG